TTTTGGTTGGATTAGACTTTTTAGAGTTTTAGAAAAATCTTCAATTTTAAAACCACCTTTGATTTCCACATAATCTTTACTGTTTACTGACACTGGCCTGAATTCGGTATCTTTTTCTTTGCTGGTCATGCCGTGGAAGGAGTAGTATTTTCCACTCTTCTGGTTTGGGGTGTGTTTATTGACCAAGCTGGGGCACTTTAGGCCCACATGGAGCCCTAACTCAGAATGAGAGAGTCCAGGAAAGCTTATTTCAGCCCAATTAAAGGACAGTCTGGGAGGTGAGGCTTTAGCTCTGCTGATCCTGTTGATTGTCTCCCTGTGGATTAAAGACAAACCTTCCTTAACAAGCACATCAAGAAGCTTTGGTTTCCAAAACTCTCCAGGACCAGTAATTAATCCAGCTGGTAATGAGAGCACAGTACTGAATTCTGGAAAGGAATCATTTAACTCTTTCTATACTGGACAGCTAATTTCCCTTTATTAATAGTTTCTATGGCCTTAGCACTGTTTATTTGGGATGGTATAAAAATAGTCTGGTAGAAAATTGCCTTTTTCAATGAAGTCAGATGATTTCTATTCATTTGAAAGTAAAAAATATCCTGCATCCTCAAAATGTACAGATCTGAAAAATGAATTTTTACAGTAGAAAATATCTCCTTTTGATATAGGGGCAAATTTTATACAGTTGATAATTAGCACTTTAAAAAGCTAGAACTTATATAGCATCAAATAATTTCACTCCAGTTCCATTTTTTAACTTCATGAGGTTTCAAGCCTTCCCTTTGTGCTGCTTCTGTTTCTCCTGCCTCTCATATTACCTCCCATATTAATTTCTAGAATCTTCCTTCTAGGAGTTTGAAATATTTATCATATGGAGATTTCCAGCACATAAATCATCTTTGAGAAGTTTCTAGTTTCTCTTTCCTCTAATTATGGTTACCCTTGAGTCACGTTTTCTGACAATTTCCATTGGTAATCTGCTTGTGCCTTTTTTTTTTTTTTAAATGTTCGAGGAGCCAATAGAACACCTAAACTACCTATATGTTGGGAGTGGGTTGGTAACAGCTTGCTACCTCAAGGCAAGGAATTGGCCCAGATGGTCAATTTGGTTCCTTCTTGTTTCTAGCATTCTTTATTTCTCATCCTTAACTTTGTTTACACAGATACGCATAAACTCATTCTTCTGTCATCTTCTGCTTTTTTCTACTTTACCCATTTTGAAAAACTAAGGATAAATGTCTTTGTATACATTACAGTCTGTTGAATATTAGAAAACCATTTCTGAAAGTTGGCTATTTCTTTGAATTGGAACAAGAGATTCCTTAATTTCCTTGATTTAAAAATAAAATCTCATTTATCATTGAAGTATTTCTTTTTGGTAGATAGTCACATTTGGCCTTTGAGAGAAACTTAATACAGGTTGAGTACCCCTTATCCAAAATGCCTGGGACCAGAAGTATTTTGGATTTTTTCCAGATTTTGGAATATTTGCATATACATAATGAGATATTTTTGGGATGGGACCCAAATCTAAACATGAAATCCATTTGTGTTTCAGATACACCTTATACACATAGCATGACAGTAGTTCTATATGATATTTTAGTAATTTTGTACATGAAACAAAGTTTTGACAATGTTTTGACTATGACTTGTCACATGAGGTCAAATGTGGAATTTTCCACTTGTGGGTGAAGTCATGTCAGCACTCAAAGGCATGTTTTGAAGCATTTCAGATTTCAGATGCTCAACCTATAGCAGATTTAAGATGAAAACTGTGTATTGGATTAGAACCATGATGCTTCTGAATACTTATTTGTTTTACGTTTGAAGTAGTTTTATTTAATAGATTTGGAGAGTAGATGGTTAAAGTATCTTTTTATAAAAAGAATAGTTTTTTCTTCTCATCAAATTAGAATTGTCAATCAGTTGCCAAATAGCTATGATGCCCCTAAATTTTGTAGCAAATTGAGCTCTACATTTTATAACAAAAGTTATGAATGCTGCAGGAGTTGCTGAGAAAAGGTAGCTGATGACTGAAGTAATAATAAAACCACTATGAATTCAGTCCAACTATGTGTATACCTGCTATCTCTAATCCTCTTAATTAACCCTGCATATTTGCCATTATCATCAACCTTTTGCAGGTAAGAAAATTAAGTTTCAGAGACAGTTGGGATTCAGAGCCAACTTGGAGTCTAGAGCTCATGTTTTTGTTGCTAGAGCTGACTCAAGAGAAGTGGTCAGTATATGTTCCACAAAGAATGTAGGACTTGCTGGGCACTAAAGAATGAGTGGTGAAAAATAAAAACAAAAGAGAAAAAAAAAAAAAAGAATGGTGACATTGGAATAGTAGCATGGAAAGTAATCCAGCAAGGGGACAATCCAGAAGGCAGAGAAGCAGGAATGGGCTCAGCAGTTCATAAGACAGTGCAGAGACTTGTCTAATGAGGACCAAGGCTGCCTGGTGGGAGTTAATGGGAATTGAATTTAGTATGAGGCCAGACTGTGCCAGGTCTAAAAAGCTGGATGAGCAGTCTAGTTAAGTTGCTAGTAGTTAAAGGACATTTGAAGGTTTTTGGACCATTGGAGCTTTGTAGGTAGCATGTGGGAAAACCTGTCTGGCAAGAATATATGGGAAGAGGGAGAGAAGGGAGAACTTGGAGTTCCACAAGAAAGCCAACTAGGAGGGTACACTGGCCTTTGGCTAGGAAGTAGGGATGAAGGTGGGGCTGGAGAAGAAGGGATGGATAGACACCACAGACATTTCAAAGAAGAAAAAATTGGACTTGCAGTGAGTGGCTAGATGGGTGTTAAAGGAGGGGAGGGAGGTAAAGATAACTTTGAGGTTTTGAGTTTGGGTGTCTGGAGAAAGGGATGGGTTTCTAATGGCAAAGACAAAGAAGTTGAGGAGACAAGTGATTAGAGAAAGAGTAGGGTGGGGGTTAAGTGAGGAGGCTGACTGCACCCACGTTTCAAGTAACCTATGAGGTATTGAAACTCAATGGAAAGCCTCGTATGAGAGAGCCAAAGCAAAGGGCCCACGGTGAGATGCTAGCATGACCCAGAACTGAAGACCAGAGGGAACTATTGGTGCAGATAGGGTGAGGGCTCAGAAGTGGAGTGATCACCATAATTAGAGAACATAAAGGGGTTCCCATTGGACTTGAGCAGGCTCTGTCAGCCTAGTGCTCTCCATAATGAGTGCTTTCTGAACGCTTTAGGATTTTGTTAATTTAGAGATATTTAGCCTTCTCGTTTCATTTTCTCCAGACTCTCCTAGGTATGGATATAAAAAAACTCTCCTTTTTGGAGACTGTTAATGGGATTAAAATAAAGGGGAACTTAAACAAATTTGTGGCATCAGTTTATTTAATTTATGCCTCTGAGAAATCCATTTTTTTATATGCGGAAATATAAAATATTGTATGTGGGGATTAAGCCCTTTCCTGCTCTATGTACCTGAGGCTAGAAAAAGACACACTCCCAAGAAATCAGGATAAAGGGAAAAATGACTTTGAGATGCACTTTCTTAAAATAACTGAAGGAATGACCTCATGAGCGGCTGATAGCATGGGTTTGCAAATGGATACACTTCTATCAGCCTGCTGCTTGATGCCGCAGAGCCAAATATATGTGGAGTGCATTATATCATATCCTGTAGGCAGGAGACTGTCTGGGTGGGGAGAGGGACTTAGAAAGAGGGTGAAGAGGCAGAATTAACAAGGTGAATGCTGTCAACCAGAGCTTGCTTTATTAGGTAAACATTACTGACTGGGTTCACGGTTCTCTATTATGTAACAATTTGTATCATCTTCTGGTAAAATAATATCCATTATAATAAGAAGAATTAGGAGAGTACCTCATATTTATATAAGATCTTCAATATTAAAAAGTGTTGCCACACTCACTCAGTAATACTTAAGTATTCCCATTTCTGTTTTTGTATTTTTGCTTTATAACTATAAGTCCTTCAGTCTGACTCTTTGCCAAAAATGTCCTCTCCTTTTGGTTTTAAGCTGCAGAGGCAGTATAGATGCGTCGTTAGTTGGAGGATGCTGCTTATCAGGAGTGTTGTAAACCACCAGGTTAAAAGGAAAGCAGTAGGTCTGGGGAGGAGTCATAAGGTTATAACTTGATAAACTGCTTTTCTTGACCAAAATCATTATTAGCAACTAAGAATGTTCACAAAATAGACTCCTCCCCCCGCCTCCTCAACACACAGAGTGTGGTTACTATGCCAGGAAATAAAGAAGAATGGCAGCTGTCTCTATGGTTTAAAACTTGTTTGGTCTGGACTTGATTTGTGAAATGACTCTGAATGAAGTCCATGATGTACTTAAAGTCACACATGCTTCACTGTATCTATATCTTAGAGTCATGGACAGTGGCCTAGCTTACTAGAAACTTTCTAGAAGAGTTAGGGTTGTTGTTCCTTTTTATTAAGTTAAAGGCCTATTTATTTTCATATATTTTGTAATCAACCACTGTACTGAATTCTTACTGTTTATAGTAGTTTTTCATTTGATTCTTTGGGGTTTTCTAGATATATAGTCATTTCATCTACAATGGTGATTTACCTGCTTCTCATCTCTTATTTCTCTCTCTTATGTATTGCATTGATCAGTACCTCCAGAACAGTGTTGAAAACACACTGACTTTGACACCTTAAATGCATGGAAACTATAAAAGGGAAATAAGCTATAGTACCAGTAGTATCTTAGGAGGCAGAAATCAAACTTGGTAGATATTCTTGCTCTTATAGGAATAAGTCTACAAAATGCAGCTTAAGGTGCACTTTACCAACATATGTATAATTCTCAATCACCCATGGAGCTATGTAACCCATGGAAAACAATGGTTTTCATCAGTCACATTTTGGAATTCTCTGGGTCCCTCCAAGAAGGCTCTCTGTTTTATAATCATATGGTTTGATAGGGGACGTAAACTCATCCCACATGTCTTTCATGAGTATTGATGACCACACCGTTCTCTTCCAGGCCCAGCTACGGGCATTTATCCCAGAGATGCTCAAGTACTCCACGGGTCGGGGAAAACCAGGCTGGGGGAAAGAAAGCTGCAAGCCCATTTGGTGGCCTGAAGACATCCCATGGGCAAATGTCCGGAGCGACGTTCGCACAGAAGAACAAAAGCAGCGGGTAAGGGTTCTTCTGGCCTAAGTTTCCCATTGCTTTTCCATTCTGAAGCAACAACCTCAATTTCTGTCATTTCTACTTCTTATGCTAAAAAGTGTAAAAACATGTGTATAATAGTTAAACCTGTCCCTCCAAAGAAGATTGACATTCTCTGATTTATAGCATTTCCCATTCGTCACTCCATCACTGTAAAGGGAAGACTGGGATGGGTTTGTGAACTTACACTTTCTCTTCATAGTGGTCTTTTGGAGCAGTTTTCATTTAATGACATGCTTGAGAAAACCAAAGAAACTTGAAGTAAATGTATTAATCACTTTGAACACTTAGAAAATGTCCTTATTTCAGGTTAGCAAGAATCACTGTTGAAAAATATAAATATGGAATTAGAGAAATGTGAAGTTTGCCAAGTGAGTCTGCTAATGACAAATTTTAGAAGAAAGACTAAACTAGATACCATCTCTTACTTTTTCTGCTTGTTTTTCATTTAGCTTGGAAGTTTACTGAAAATCTTAATACATCAGTCTTGGCCAGAATAATCTTTTGTGAGAAGTTTGAGTTTGGCCTCAGGTTTAAATAGGGCATAAAACCCTGAAACTAAACCAGACTTTTATCAGGAAGGAAACCAGTGGGAAACCCTCTTTGGTATTTGGTGCTTAGTTTCTTTGTGCCAGAATCAGTGTATGGGAATTAATCCTAAGAAAGTTTACTCTGCAAGAGGTTTGGTATGGTTTGATAAATAAGCAGCTGCTTATTCTATATTGGGACTAAATAACCAAAGTTCTTTGTGGCTTAATGTGCTTTGCTGGTCTTTTGGTGACAGGTTTCATGGACCCAGGCACTACGGACCATAGTTAAAAACTGTTACAAACAGCATGGGCGAGAAGATCTTTTGTATGCTTTTGAAGATCAGCAAACACAAACACAGGCCACAACTACACACAGTATAGCCCATCTTGTACCGTCACAGACTGTAGTCCAGACTTTTAGTAACCCTGATGGCACTGTCTCACTTATCCAGGTGAGTAAACCTGAGGGTTGCCAGATTGCAGTTTCTCAGATGGATCAGTGAGCACCTCACCTCAGACTAGAGAAAGTTTTCTTCGTGCATACTCTTGTGTGAACTTTATTATATAGGTTCCCAAGATCTTTCTGCCTGAAAATGATTTCTGAAGAATATCTTAAATTGTTTGCATTCTCTAAAAGTAGAGCTATGAGTAGCTTTCCTGGACGTTTCCAAAACAGCGCACTTTAAACTGGCGTCTTTTTTACAGTTTCACTGTTAGTGGCCAGGGAGTATTTCTTCTGAATTACCTCTTCTTAGGTAAAACAGTTCGATAGGGAACCTTTAAGGTTCAGATTGGTGCAGTCTTACTGGATTTTAAATAAGTAAATAAATAAAGTTCAGATTGGGTGAGAGTAGAAAGTTGGTTTACTGACACTGGGCACTGATAGTGAAACATGGTAGCTCCTCTAATATTGATTTATTTGGTTGAAGTAAAATTCTGATACTCATGTTAATCTCTGAGACATGATTTTAGTAACTTGTTTCACAACATAAGGCATATTATCTGTGTGAATTGGGGATTAAATCAATCTTAGCTTCCGAGTAAAGGAGAAGAAGAGGGCTCCATCCACTGACACTTAATCACTTTCCATGTTTTTATTTAGGTTGGTACAGGGGCAACAGTAGCCACATTGGCTGATGCTTCGGAATTACCAACCACAGTCACTGTTGCCCAAGTGAACTATTCTGCTGTGGCTGATGGAGAGGTAAGAAAGAGGATTCTGCCTGCATCTTCTTAAATACTTGAATGTATAGGTGAGGGTAAGTGAGGGTCCAGAACATGAAGTAGTCTACATGGCTGTAGCATTAGTTTATTTAAACATCAGACCATGACAGTTTTGGAGTGTATCTCATGCTGTGTGTGTTAATTGTAACAACTGAAATTCATGGGTCCTTATGACTCAAACCCAACTGTCAGGAACTTAAAATTTTACATTCGCAATATAGCACTTTATACTATACACAATCAGAAGGGATTATTCTTTTAATACTTTTACGTTGTGAATCTCAAAGGATTTCATCTTTTGGCTTTATGAAAAAAAATCGGTTCGTTAAAACTGAGGTTGACTAAAGGGAGCATTCTTTGAAGGAATAAATATATTTGCAAGTCAGGAATGTGATTTAGTACATTTTAAACATGGCTTTGAAAAGATTTCACAAGAGAATCCTTCTCTACCAAAATTGAGGTAATTATGGGGATGTTAACCTAAAGGCAGCTAAGCTTTATTGAACACTTAGTGGGCTGAGCACGCAACCTTATGAAGTATAGGTTCTGTTATGGTCTTCACTTTACATATGAGGAAACTGAGACATACAGAGTTTAGGTGATTTACCCAAAGTCACAGAGTAGTGTTGAAGCAGGATAATGCATTTAGAAAAACATTATCTCAGCTCTCAGCTCTGAGCCATTGGTGAGGATTCAAGAAGTGAAGAAAAAGGTCCATGAGTCACTGTGGGTGTTTCCCCTAAAGATACTGGTATGATATACCCCCGAACTTTGTAAAATAGCCAACAGATGTCAAAGAGCAATATCAGAAATAAAGCTAAAAGTATTATCTCACCCTTGTTCAAAGCCATGGAGCATTTCCACTTAGAACACCACAAAGGTGCTTTCATTTGTGTGCCTCAGGAAAGGGTAGAACTGGCAAAGGTCCCACAGCTGGTGAGATGAAACGAGAGTGCACGGCCAGGCTCCTTGGTCAGCCAGCTTGTGTTGAGTCCCTGCTGTGCCGCAGGTGATCCGTTAGCTATATGGAGTTGACTTACACAGGATCCCTGCTCTCTTAGGGCTCCGGTCCAGTGGGGGAGAGAGATGCCTACATAAATGAACTATGGTCCGTGCTGCAAGAGATGCTGCGAAGGGTGTGTGTCTTCCGAAGGAGAGGATATTTCCAGCTGAGGAGTCTGGGAAGGTTTGGGACAGGAGATAGCACTTGGTTTTTGAGTGTAGAAAGGTGAAGGCCAACAGGACACTTACTTTTCTAAGTATATAAGCATCTTAAAAAGGGTATGGATTAGCAGAGCAAAAAATTAATCAGTTTCAGAACACTGAAACTAGAGGACACTGCTTGAAGTATGAAAGAGGTAGAGGTAAAGTTTATGAGATTTGTTAGCGTTTGGCATAGTCACAGTTATCAATCATATCTCCCTATTGAATGTTTCCCATTAGTATTTAAAGAAAGTAACTTTATGTTTCTTTCCTTTATAAAAAAAATTTTTATTGACACATAATATTTATACATGGAGTTGTGTTTCTTAAACACTTTGGAGACTAATTCTTTGAAACATGTTTTACTAAATAACTTCACATATAGAAAGATAATGTATTCAACCATTCATTAAAAATATGGAAAAAAATCTCAGTCACATATCTATGGCTTTTCTAGCATACTAACATTATTAAATCATTTATTGTGAAGATTGGTGAATGACATTTGTAAAATTTTAATCACCTTTTGGTAAATACCCAGATTCAGTCAGATGAAAAAAAAATTCTAATTCTTCCCATACTTCCAATGAAATAAAAATGATACAAAGAGAGTGTGAAGCACAGGTTGTGACAGAAAGCACTAACATGTTTTAGATTATATAATCTGTTTCCATTTGCTTTCTGATTTCTTAGATGTTGACATAGTCGTTAGTGTCTTAGTTTTGACCCCTAAGAACTGTAATTAATCAAATATCTCACTGAAGTGGGGTAGATAAGACCACATCAATGCCAATGAAGACATTGTATCAGGTGACTCAGTAGAAACATCACACTTCCTATAGTAGCATCTTTTCTCCCATGGAACAGAAAGTACTTTATAACAATAAGTGATACCTGTACTTTTAGAAGTTGGTCATTTTGTTATTCCAGCCTTACCAGCGAGAGCTCTTACCTTTAAACACTGCCTTCAACATCCAATTACATTTAGTTACATTTATGAGAGGAACATTTCAGGTCTTGGTGTGCTGAGAATACTTAATAATCTGAATAGTTAAAAAGACACAAACCCTCTAGCCACAGAACAAGTTACATAGACATTTATGATTGAGCAAAGAGAGAATTTCAAAATAATGTAAACTATGCTCATTTTAAAATATATAATCTTAATTTTAATGTTATATTTAAAAATGCAAATTCGTTTGAGAATTTATTCTGTTGTATAATAAGACTACCAATTTGTATTGGTGGTATTAATTGCATTAGATGTTGGAAAAGTAAAAATTTGAAATAGAATGGTATCTGATGATAATGGTATATGTGATTCTCAGAAGGGGAAAAAAGCCAAAGTACAAAGACATGAGATATGACTTTTCAACTGAACCATCAACATATGTAACAGTTTTGAAATTGCACAACTCATTTTACGTGGGTTTTTTGTGAATGTCAATTTACCTAAATATGGATAGGCTGAATAACAAGTAGGAAAATGAAAATAGTATCTTCTACATCCATCCATTCAGTAAATACGTTTTGAGTCCTGTGCCAGGCACTATAGGTGATACAGATGCAGTATAATAAAGACTGCCTTTGCCCTTAAGGAGCACACAGGTAGGTGGTAGAGAAAAACAAATAAAGAACAATTGCAGTGGGATAAGAATTTAGTAGCAGCAAGCCCTGGGTGCTATGGAACTGCGGAGGAGAGGCCCTAACCTTAGACTGTAGGGGGGTGAGTTGTTTTAGGAAATACTTCCCAGAGCAGTAGCCTCTGAGCTCAGACAAGAAGGGTAACTAGCAAGGCAAAGGATGGAGGGTTAGAAGTTGTGTTCCTATAAAAGGGAGCAGCGCTGAATTTAGCTCATTGAGTTGTGAAAGCATAGAACAGCCATCGTGGTTCACTCTAGCTAGAGGGATAAGAGGAGCCACAATTTGAAGGACCTCATTGTATAGTGGCTCTCTCTTAGAAATACATAGACGCTAATAGAACATCTTCTGAATATCTTCCTCTCCTAGAGTTACTGGCCCTTTCTTTGGAGCATGGTGACTTCCAGGCATAGGTAACTGCACACTGTCTCCCAACAGGTGGTACAGGAGGGCAACAAGAGCTTAAGCAAGTGAAGCCAAAGCACTGAGACTCAAAAATAGCAAATTCCAAAGAGATGTTAGCACCTAAGCTGATTTATCACCTGCCATATTTCTGATTATAAATCATTTCCTCTGTTTCTTCTTCCTATTCTCTCTCTACCGTTTACTGTTATCCCCCTTAATCTTTCTTGCCATATAATTTAACTTCCTTAAATTATGCTGTATATGGCAACATTCTAATACTATTTTCACTACAAATATAGTTGTAACTAAATGTGTCTATACTGAATTGCTGCCTTAGGAGTATGAGGACTTGGCAGAGCTGCATGGGCCAAGCTCAGGTGAGAGCAGAAGCATGAGCGGGGCTAACATAGAGGGGCAGATCAGGAAGGAAGAGGACTGTTCAATGGCAATAGGTGGCAGTGCCACCCAGCTTTAGCTAATGATTTGAATAGACTCATTGGCCACCCAAGAACTGATGGTTCAGCTTGCCATCTGCAGGAGCAGTGTTGGCAGTGATGCTCATTGGAGTAATGAGAGCAAAGCAATCATACTTTGGGAAGCAATAGCTTTGAAGTTCCTGAGTGGGCAACTTTGTAGCTTGAGGATATCTCTGCCCTCAATGGTGGTGGACCCTCAAGGCTTGCTGGCACAATCCACTGCCCATGAGAGAGCTCAGGGCAAATACCAAGGTAGCTCGAAGGAATGTCTGATTTTTCTGGAAGGCTTTTGACAAAGATTCTGAGAAGCATATCATATTCTAAATATGGTAATAGAACCAAAGCAGGAGGCATTTTAAATATTTACCTCTCCTAGAGCTTGTGATACTTTCTTTGGACACAGTGACAGGCAGACACAAGATAACCACTCACTGGGCCCCAGCAATGTAGAATGGGAACAGAAAGAGCTGCTGTAATCACAGCTAATGTTCTGAGATCCAGGAGTCCAAAGAAATATTGTATCTCAGCTGATTTATCACCTACCATATTTTTTAGTAGAAATTGCTTTCACTGTCCCTGGTACTTTTCGTGTTTGAAGGGAGATAATTAACCAGTATTTATTGAGCAAAATGGATTGAGGTAGCTACATACAGGTATCCAGAACTAAGAAGTCTTGCCAGATGTGGTGGCTTGCTCCTGTAATTCCAGTCTTTGGAAGGCCAAGGTGGGAGGATAGCTTGAGGCCATGAGTTCAAGACAAGGCTAGGCAACACAGTGAGACCTCGTCTTTATAAAAAATGTAAAAAAAATTAGCTGGGTGTGGTGACATGCACTTGCAGTCCCAGCTACTCGGGAGGCTGAGGCAGGAGGATTGCTTGAGCCCAGGAGTTCAAAGTTACAGTGAGCTATGATCATGTCACTGCACTACAACCTGGGTGACACAGTGAGGCTCTGTCTCTTAAAAAAAAAAAAAAGAACAAGAAGTCTCTAAATGCAAAGCATTGTATTAATATCAGTGGTTCTCAACCCAGGGCCAGAGGGAAGATTTGGCAATGTCTGGAGACATTTTTGATTGCCGTGACTGGGTAGGGCACTGTTGGCATCTAGTGAGTAGAAGCCAGTGAGGTGCTACCCATCCTGTGACTCGCAGGAGAGCATCCACAACAAAGACTGGTCTGGCCCAGAATGTTAACAGTGCCAAGGTTGAGAAACCCTGGGCTAGATCTAGCAAAGTTGGATTTTAATCTACTCTGTCACCAGCTAGTAGTATGGTTTTTGTGTTTTGTGGGGTGGTTTTTGTTTTTTGTTTTGGTTTCTTCATAATTTCTCCCCTACTAAAAAGAAAGTTTTCACTACATTAAAAAAATTATTTGCTATTTGGCAGTTTCCATCAAAAATAAAAATATAAAATAACTTTTATCTGTAATTTCACCTCTAGGAATTTACTGCATAAATAAATAAACTCACATATGATATATAAAGTACAGTAATATATAAAAATATTCATCACAGCACTGTTCTGTAATAGCAAAAGACTAGAAGCTATCTAAATGCCCAATAAAAGATACCTGGTTAAATAAATCATGGTGTTCCTATATAATACAATGCTGTGTAGCCATTATTATGAATCATGAATGAATAAAGCACTTTTATATGTTCCAAAATGGAGTCATTTCAGAGATGTATTGTTTGTGAAAAACGCAAGGTGTACAAAAGATATGTAGAATATTCTGCCGTTTTTACTCTTAAAAAGGAGGACATAGGGGAAATAGGTGTGTGTGTAAATATGCTTGCATATAGGGAGAAATACCTCTGCAAGGTACACAAGAAAATGGGTAACAGTAGTAGACCCTTTGGGCAAAGGATCTAGAGTACTGGTATTATATTCCCTTTGGTATAGTTTGAATTTTTTTTTCTCCCATGGGCCATTTTTATGACCCAGCCTATATATATTTTTTAACTTCATTTATTATTTATTCATTTATTTTAATTGACAAATAAAAATTGTATGTATTTGTCATGTACATGTTGTTTTGCAATATGTATACATCGTGAAATGGTTAAATTGAGATATTCATAAGTAGACAGTGGAAGTCTTGCTTTCTGTCTCCTATCCAACCTGTTTCCAAGTCCCTACCCACAATACACACAATGAGGGAAATATTTTCAATGGTTTCTTTTGTGTGTCCTTTCAGAATTTCTTTATGCAAATGTAAGCAAATTCAAATATATATTCTAATATACCCCTTTTTGCACAAAAGATAGCGTACTAAAAATTCTGTTCTATACATCTTAGGTCATCTTAATTAAAAGTGTATATATTTGGCTAAAAACAACAATTCATTTGAAAAATTATTTTTTATAGTCATAACCCTTTTGTGGCTTTAATTTTTACTATCTTATCCTTTGTGCCCCAGGTGGAACAAAATTGGGCCACGTTACAAGGAGGTGAGATGACCATCCAGACGACGCAAGCATCAGAGGCCACCCAGGCGGTGGCATCATTGGCAGAGGCCGCAGTGGCAGCTTCTCAGGAGATGCAACAGGGAGCTACGGTCACCATGGCGCTTAACAGGTGGTGGCAGGGGTGGGGAAATAAATGAGGATTGCAAATCTCTTCCTGTGGTTGTGGGTGTTGTACCTCAGTTTGTTACAGTTGGCAGTTGGAACTTAACACTCTCAGCCCATAAGATATGTAGGTTGGCTTATAATCAACCTTTACCAAGAAAAATTGAGCTTTTTTTCTTCAGGTATGTTTAGGAAGGACGCTGCAGGATGGAATATTCCAATAAGATGTGGTTCCCAAAACTAAATTATATTGTTTCCTGCTTGGTTCCTTCCACCGGCTATTGATAGGAAAGATCATCCCCATATCATTCTTCTTTGTATCATTCCTGACACAATTTTACTTTCAGTGGACTCAGGCATTTTAATTGATGGTTAAGAGTATGGGCTTTGAAGCCATACTACCTGGGTTGGAAGCCCAGCTCTGTCACTTACTAGCTGTTTGGCCTTGGGCAGTTTATTTGATCTCTCATTGCTCAGGCTTTCTTCTTCTGTAAAATGGGGGTGATAACAGCACCTGCCTTGTAGGGATGTTGTGAGAATTCAGCAAGTTACACCATGTGAGATCCTTAGATCAGTGCCTGGTGTATAGTAAGGGCTGCTATTCTCATTATGTACAGCAGCTATTAGTCCCAGATAGTCACTGAACTCTTAGGACATGCCAGCCCTCCACTGGGTAAGTATGTAAATAGAGAAAAGAGTGCTCTGATCTCTGCCCTCAAAAAAATCATACTCTCATCGGAGAGACTGATTTAAGTAAAACACATAGTGAACAGTAGTACTTAGAATATAATTCACTATTGAATTGTGTAGTACAGACTGAACATTGTGGAAATGCAGAGGAGGGAAATCACCTCCCCCAAAATATAAAATTAGCTAAAGTTTAGCGTGGTTGTGATAGATTCTGGAGAGCCATGATGGGTTTGTGGACAAACAATTTACTGTATGAGGCTGTGTAGTATGGTGGTTGAGAAGAAGGCTCCAAGGTCATATAGATTCAGGCTTGAATCCTAGCTTTACTACTTACTAGTCATTTGACCTTTAGAAACTTAATCCCTGAGCCTTGGTTTCCTTATCATATCATATAATGTGGATAATACTCATCACACAGACTCATGTATACGAGATGATGTATATAAAACTCTCATCAGAATGTCCAACCCATAGTTAACACTTTAGGAATTATAGTTATTATCATTTAAATTATATTTTAAGATTTGCCTATTCAGAATTGATTATAGTGAGAAAAGATTAGAAGACCAGTTAGGAAGAGGCAGTCTTGTGAAGGTCCTGGAAACTAAAGTAGTAAGAATGGAGATAAAGTGACTGATTTTAAAGGAAGTAAGGCCAGAGTTTGGTGGCTGAATAGGAATAGAAAACTGAAACTCTCTCACACACACACTTGTCCTCTCAGAGTTACTCAGTGAGTCCCTGAGTGACTGGAATTAAAACATTTTTGTCAGCCCATTGAGCCATGTTGTTTTCCAGTAACATGGAAGTCTTATTTGGTTCCTTAAGCTTTGACTCAATTCCACTGCTTTTGAGAGAGGACACCCAGATAAACTTTGTGAAAGACCTGGCCTGAGCGAGAACCTCTCTCCCTTTGGTCCGGTAACCCCTCACTGTAGCTTGGGGCCTAACAGGCTCTCATTAAAGACCAGCAAAACTTGATTTCATTGAGAATTCCAGCCACCACCTTAGATATTCCAGTGAAGTGTGAGTGTCCTGGGAACCCTGTACATAGTGGAAAATGTGAGGCACATGCTGGCTCCCTTTGCTGTAAGGACCAGGGCTTATTTCTAAAGGCAGCCAGGGTAATGGTATGCCCTGAGGGCTTGTTAACAGACTCAGCTGCAGCTGAGGTGGCTACAGTGTTTACTCCAAAGGAAGGAGAATGTGGTTCACTGTGGCATGTAGGAGGAGTAAAGAGATGTTGAAATTTCTTTGTAATCAGATAGTTCAATGCCCCAGTGAGTGTTGGGGGGTAGTGTGCTGCAGCTTCTGCTGGGGATGAAGAAACCAAGCCTAGCAGCAAAGACTAGCCTACAGTAGGCTATTAGGGGCACATGAGGGCTTTCTGAACCCAAGAGAGGTAACCCACGGGCTAATGTCTTAGTCAGGAGGGTTAGACGTAAGACACAAGCCCTTGGCATTTGCTTCTCTGTGGATGAGATGCATTGGAATCCTTTATTCCCTGGACTCCCAGCCTCTCCATCGAATTTGTTATTGGAAGTCATCTTAGTGAAAAATACATAGAAAAATTTGGTCTTTGTTCCTGTGGTGACAGAGCAGTTTCATAATCTGCCCCTCTTCCAGTCTGTCTCAGTTTCAGGTGCAGGTGGAACAAGCATGGTTTTCTAATAACCACCTACGCCTCTGCTGCAATGTAAACAGCAGATGTGGGCACAGGGTGAGAAGGAGAGGCAAGCTACATGGAGTGGCAGGTGGGGGACAAGGAGGCAAAGGACTCCTTCATCTGTTAGAGGGGAAAATGGGATGAGGACAGTTGCAGGACAGACCTGTTTTTCAGCCATGCTATTAGAAGAGTTTTGTACAGCAAGTCACAACAAGAGCCCCGGGCTCCACAGCCTTTAGCCCACCCTGGCTTCATAACAACTCACAGAGGATATGGAGAAATTGTCCTTAAAGAAACCTGAAAACTATGTTAATTTTAATTTTCAAAGTAAAGAATAAATTAGCACTTTCAGGGAGGAGGTGGGGAGGGAATCAAAGTGAACAAGTGAAAAGCAAAACATCACAGCTTAAAAAATAAAATTGAGCTATTCAGTCCCAACAACCAGAGACGAAAGGAAGTGATATCATCATTTATTTGTTGTGAAACAGTGATTAATTTGAAGTTCTTTTGTTAAGCTGTCCTGGACTGATAGTTCCTCTTAAACATGTCCTTCTGCAAAGGCAATTGTTCACTATGCCCAGTACAGTCCTTCCATACAGGGATACATGATATGAATTTATAGACTGGATCTACATTTTCCCCAGTGGAAACTTACTTTATCCTGTGTTGTCGACACTGAGACCATATTTATTGTGTCTGCTGTGTGCAGTGCTGTGACTCAGTGCTATGGGGAAACATGCTTTGAGCAATTGCTCTTCCCAAGGAATTCAGAATTTGCCATTTTGTTGCTGTGGAGACTTTCCTTTAAAAAAGAAGTGAGCCGGCCGGGCGCGGTGGCTCACGCCTGTAATCCTAGCTCTCTGGGAGGCCGAGGCGGGCGGATTGTTTGAGCTCAGGAGTTCGAAACCAGCCT